ATACTCCATTGGTACTTCAGTTCGTGGACGCCAACTCTGGGTGTTGACAATTTCGAGGTATCCACGGAAACATGAAACAGGGGTTCCAGAATTCAAATACATAGCAAATATGCATGGTAACGAGGTAAATAGTTAGATATGTCATTAACTGAGAACTAGTTCTCAGGTTTCATGCATTCAGGTATCAGGTCGGGTCTTTCTGCTGGGCCTAGCATGGACTCTGCTTCACAATTATTATACTAATGAATGGATCCGAAATCTTGTCGATACCACACGAATACATCTATTGCCTACAATGAATCCGGATGGGTGAGTGAATCCAACAGAATTTGTGCTAGGTGTGTTTTACTCCCGCGACCAAAGTGGTCGTCACGGACTTCGGCGTATTTAGATTTCGTTAGTGTTAGTATACTATAATTCACGTTCAAAGAATTTTCCTGGTGACTCTGCGCTCGTCAGACTGCGTTCCTACGTTGGAGCAGCCTTAAAGGCAGTTGGCACGATGGTTTCCTACTTAGCCTAAAATGCTAGTAGGGGCATGGCGAAAGAACGGAGTGAAACGGTCAAAATCCTGCGAAGAAAAAGCCTCCGTTCTCAGTGACTTGTAAATCGATTTCGGACGAGTTTCCCGTAGGCATCTTACCAATCACCGCTACCGAAGATACGGCTGCATATGTGTACCCATGTATGCATGCAGCATCACGGCCGCTTCATACCAATCCCTTCGCTTCATAATTTGCTTAGCAAATGAATGAATACGAGCGTCAGGAACGGTCGTCCATTTGTGGGCGGGCGGGCGTGGCGGGCGTTTGGGACGTAAAGTTGTGGCTTGATAGGGCCCTTATAAGGGCACCTTCAGCCAATGCCTTTAAGCAGCCCAATATCGTTCACCAGCGTTCCGAGCGTCTGGCAGCGTCTGCGATTAGGAAATTTAGATGACGATCCAGCGTCTTCAGCGACTAGTGGCGTTTCGAGGGCCAGGAAAGTACAGGTATCGATCTATCGTCTGTCAGCGTTTAACAACAACCAGCGTTTGGTGTGCAGAGTATGGGCGATGAGAGGGTAGGAGACAACTGGTAGAGTACGTGGACACAGGAAGGTAGCAGGTAGTTGGTAGAATATGGGGAGATAGGACGCGAGCCGAGCTAGTAGAGAGTATGGCGCGATAGGAGGGTAGCAGGCAGCTGGTCCCCACCTCGCCCCCCTCCCCTCCCCCCCCCCCCTCCTCCCAATCGCCCCATACTATACTGTCTATTGGTGGTCCTGATGGAGGCTAGTAGACGCAGGCAGACGCTACATCGATGTCCTTACTTTTCTAGTCTTCGACACTGCCAAGCGCTCGGAACGCCGATGGACATTGCCGCAAATATGAAGGCAGCCTGAGAGAGCGATGGACGACGGGCGACAACCAACTATACTCTGCACAGCACCATACTCGCACAGAACATGCGTTAGAAAGTAGGTATTCAGAAGAAAAAAATTCAGAAGGCGCAAGAGAATTAAAAACTCCCGTAGAGATAACAGTAGAGAGCGGAGGGTCATCGAATGATCCCATCCCTTGAGCAAAAGGTATAACTCAAAAAGGTCAGAATGTGTTCGGTGTACTGCAACTTGCAAAGGACCTAACTGCACATGCCCGTTTGTACTGTGGGGCGAGTTCGCAGAGTGACGAATTTACGTACTACAGTCGTCATCCGGGCACTTGATTAGGGCGGCAAGGGTCGCGACGCGGCTGCGGCGTGTCACGAGCGCGGCGATCAGCTGTTTCCAGCCTATTTTAGCCATTTTCTCCCTAATTTACACTGTTATGGCTGCTTTTCTCGAGATTAGTTGTTCCTTGTCTTCACAAGGTAAATTATGATTGAGATTCCTCTGTTTTTTGCGCACAATTAAACAGGCAGACAATTGAACAAACACCTGAAAAAAAATCGCAAAAACACTCTATTACAGAAATAAAAAAAGACTCCACGCCCTAATGTACTTCGTAAAGAAAATAAAGCATTGACCATAAAAAAGAAATTCAGTGAAAATTAGGGAGAAAATGGCCAAATTAGGCTGGAAACAGCTGATCGCCGCGGTCGTGACGCGCCGCAGCCGCGTCGCGACCCTTGCCGCCCTAATCAAGTGCCCGGATGACGACTGTGTGTAATGTTTGGCTATTATTGGGCTACATAGTAGCGCTGAGCATTTAAACAAGCACTATGTTACTACTAGCGATCACCATAGGCCTCTGAAATGAACTCGAACTCATGTCGAATTCCGAACGTTCAGCACGAATGGTGACACCTTTTTCAGTTATGAGCTCGCTTATGAAGGTGATGAGGCAGGAATTCACGGAAGAACCAATGCTAACAATAAAGATTTGAATAGGAATTTCCCTAGCAGGTAAACACTGCTTACCAACGTATTAACAAAAAGATTAAGTGAAGCTATTTGGTTACAGATTTCCCAACTATTTCCCGTCTGAAGAGCTCCAACCGGAAACTGCAGCAGTGATGAAATGGACCAAATCGATCCCGTTTATTTTATCAGCTAGCCTTCATGGTGGCACAACACTGGGTAAGTAGATCAACTAGAAATATCACGATGGATTAGGAATGAGGCTAGTCAGACTACAGAGAAGCTATGACGTAGCTATCACCATTTGACTTGAGCAGAACTATACCAGTTCGTCTCTAAACCAATAGGTTCCTGAGGGAATCACTCCACCTATGAGCTAGAGAGTATTCCCAGTGGACTGCTTGATGAATGTGGGACGATACTTCCATTTTGCGGCGAAGCGATGTTCACAAGCGGCACCACGTGCGCAGCATTCGCATCAGTACCTAACTAGTTTAACGTGGAAGTGCAGCAGTTGTCTGCTGACAAGAACTCCTACTTGTCACCGTACATGAAAATAACCTCCCACACCTCCTCAAATATTAGGTTGTCCGGAAAGTTCTCAGCGTTTTGGGTGTTTCACTTTAAACGATCGTAACTTTTTTAATACTCATCGGATTTAATCGAAATAGGCACCATTCGAATCAGCACACTTTTGCCAATGTGACAGCAGTCGAGAAATCCCATCAAAGGAAAAACTGGGTGGTCGAAAATTCACGAAATCCACTAAGGCTTTTTTGCCTGGTCCTGATTGATGAAGTATTTTCCAGCAAGGGAGTTCTGAAAATGTTAGAAAAGGTGATAGTCGGTTGGCGAAAGGTCTGAAGAATATGGCGGTGAGGTAGAACTTCAACCCCAATTCGTTCAATTTATGGATAGTGATTTGTGAAACGTGTGGGCGGGCGTTGTCATGCAAAGGAATCGGACCCTTTCTTTTGATAAGTGTTGGCTGCAGCTGACAAAATTTTCGGTACATTTCGTCGGATTCCTTCACAGTAGGGTTCTGCTGTGATGGTTTGGCCTGGTGATGAAAAGTTATAGTGGATTACAACAGCCGATGACCACCAAACCTGACCAGAATTTTTTTTTCGCGAGGGTTCGGCTTTGAAAATTACCTCGGTGGTTCCTCCAAATCCAACCACTGTCCGGAACGTCTCCTGTTATCATACATGATCCATTTTTCATCACAGGTGACAAATCCGTTCAAAAACGGGTCAATTCTTTTGCGCAAAAGCAGTGAAGAAGGAACCTCGAGACGTGCCGATTCCTGCCGGTCACTCCGATTGTGGGGCACCTATTGTCGAGTTTTTTCACCCTTCCCAAATGCTTTCAAACAATGCAACACTGGATTTGCCAACGCCTAGCTTTTCTGCAATCTCTCGAACTGTTTGGGATGGGTCAGCCTTCAAAATCCCCTCAAAATCCTCGTCAGATATTGCTTTAGGTCGACCGCCTATGAGGTTCACCTTCAATGCTGAAATCTCCTGAAGTCGAACATTTGGTTGAGGCCATTGCAGGCACAGTGCTTTTCTCAAAAACACTATTGGCCTCCACATCTGGTTAATTTGCTGAGCTGTTTCGTTGCGGATTGCCCCAATTTATAGTCGAAGAAAAAAATCGTCCGAAGTGCTCTTTTCACATGCTTGAAAAAAATCTTGAAAAAAGGGGGTTTATCAAGCAATGGTGAAACGGCAATTATACCATCAGATAGCGCAAGAAATTCTCTACAGGATGTGCTACTGAGAAGCAAGGCAGAATGAGTTTTTAATCAGCAGTGAATGTACAAAAAATAGGTGCACAAAACGCTGAGAACTTTCCGGACAACCTAATACTTCTCGAACACTCTTCTACAAACTTCTTGTTCTCTCTTCTATAGAACAGTTTTCCAGTAAACTATCCGTTCGATGATCATCCGACCCGGAGCGCTTCACGTCGTTACTCACCGTCACCGGATAATGAACTATTTGTTCAGATTAGCCTACTCTTATTCAAAAGTACACGATCGAATGAATAAACAGGTGATGCTGGCTTTCCCTGCAGTGAACTTTCTTTATACTCTTCTATACATATGTGTTGAAACGGTGAGGTGGGAGGCTTTTAGGCTGCGTTCATACTTTGCGGCAACGTCCAGCAGCGTCAGTCAGCGTTCGCTACTGTTCCGAGCGTCCGACAGCGTCAGGAATTAGGAAAGTTAGACATCGATCCAGCGTCTGCCAGCGCCCAGCAGCGTCTGCGAACGTCTTGAGGACTAGAGAAGTACAAGCGTTGATCTAGAGTGTGTTAGCGTCTACCAGCGTTCACCAGCTACTAGGAGTAGAGAGTATGGAGTGCAACAGCACTGTAAAACTACTCTACACCGTACACTAAATTATAATCTGTGCTTTGGCAGTTCCCTAATCCGGTTGTCTGCTACCCTCCTACTTTCCCATACTCTTTACTTCCAGTGAAAGCTGGCGGGCGACGGCAGACGCTTGATCTATACTTCCCTAGCCCTCGAGACGCTGGCGGACGCTAGATCCATATCTATACTTTCCTAGTAGCTGATAGCTAACGCTGCCGGACGCTCGAAACACTAGGTCACTCGTGGACACTTGTAGACCCTGGTAGGCGCTGCCGCAAAGTATGAACGTAGCTTAGCAATAGTGGTCGCATCCCTCGTTCATGGAGCCTTTAATTCAGTTGGAAAGGATAGCTGATAATGACCATGTACTCCTTTACTGTACGAGGAAATCTGATTTTTTGAAGTCTTGGACCCTCATACTGTGTTCCTCAACGAATCTTATAAAATTTATTTTACTTCTGTAGGGCCCACGGTGCCTCGACGATCACTTGAATTTGGCTACAGAACCACAGAATGGAATCGTCAACGGAGCAGACTGGTAACAACTTGTATTGGAAAATGAACTGCTGTGATTTATTGAGAACAACATTCCAGGTATATAGTGTCTGGTGGAATGCAAGATTGGAATTACTTACACACTAATTGCTTCGAACTGACTATCGAACTGAATTGCGTTAAATATCCTCCAAGAAGTGAACTAAAAACGTTGTGGGATGAAAACAAATATCCCCTTCTCTATTTCATCAAGCAAATTCACAAGTAAGTTTAGGCCATAAGCCTTGATTTTGTCTGTTGTCGTGGAAACACACTGCTCCTTCAAATTGTTCCGAAAAGGAAAAGCGTGTGCGTTTGGTCTAGGAGCTGGGCTCGAGGAGGATTCCAGTAGAATTTGC